ATTGTTCATCTTTGCATCATCTTGCAGGTATTGAATTATTTTTTCCTGCATCCTAGTTGTTTTAAAGAGATCTTTTCTTTTTTACTAGCTGCAATGGTGTCTTTCAGGTCAGAAAGTCTATTTTCACTTTCACGCAAACAGTTTTGCCAGCTTGTGATTGAAGTTTTGATTTCCTGTATATCACTTTGAACCTGTTCATACATTCTATTTCTTTCCTCAATTGTCTATTCAGGGGTTCCATCATTTTTATATTCTCTTCTATTTTTTTCAATGTATTCTTTAGAAGCACTTAGTACTTCTTTGATTATAGTTACCACTACATTTTTTAGTTCTGAAATTATTTCTGATCTGATTTCTTCTATACCTTTCTGCAGTTGATTCTTTACTGTCAACCTATTATTTGAGAGATATCTGGCGTGTGATTTCCAGTTTCCTCAGTGCTAGTGTCTTGTGCATTTGTACTGGGTGGACTCGGGGCTTGAGACTGCATTTTGTTCCTTCTCTTTGTCATTTTGTATACCACTGTCTTCTGACCTTTGTGTAGAGCTTAGATAGAGTTATTACCTTAGCACCAGGTCCGGATCTATGAAGTCCAGATTCCTCCAGGTGGATGTTGTATGAATCTGGCTTCTGTGCTCCACTTCTTTCTGCTGCAGGCGTTAGAAGTGAACCCTTTGTGTCTGTCTGGGAAGATGTTCTGCTCCAGAATCAGCTGGGTGGGTCTTGCCTCTAGCCTCTTTGCAGTGAGTTCTGCTGAAGGGTTCCCTGCTGGGCCTGCAGCCTGGGTCGAATGAGGATCCGCGGGCCCGGGTCGTCTCACTCAACTAGCCGGGCCTGCGCTCTGGGTCTCTTCAGGATCCCACGGCCCTGGGTCGTCTCACTAACTCCCCGGTCCTGCGCTTTGGGTCTGTTCAGGATCCCCCGGCCTCGGTCATCTCACTCATTCGCTGGACCTGCGCTGTGGTTCTGTTCAGGATCCTTTGGCCCGGTCATCTCACTTACTTGCTGGGCCTGCGCTCTGGGTCTATTCAGGATCCCATGGCCCTCGGTCATCTCACTCATGCCGGGCCTGCACTCTGGACAGAAAGACCATTTTAAAACATGGTTTTACATCAAAACAACCTCAAGACTTTGAGTTTGGTAGGAACAGGCAAAATAGTTGCCTAGACTTTGCCATTTTCATGCTTTTTAAATTTGTGACTGCAATTCCTGCCTCAAAGACCTCTTACATCCTTGATTTTCTCTTCTCTCATTCTCTGAGTTGCAGAGTACTGAGAAGAATAACTAAGGCAATGACAGGCTGTATCCATCTCTGTATTCCTTTGCAGTGATCTTCTGGGTCTAGTACTTCCCCCAGGACATGGCCAAATAATTTTTGTTCATCACAGGAAGCTATGTTAATATGAAAGCTACTGTCATAAATGTTAATAGTTTCTTAGATTTGACAACAAATAGAGGCTACTGCCAGATTGGAGGCTTAGTCAGATATCTTTTCAGATAGATAGGTCTGAAATGAAAGAAGCCAGAATGAACTCTGAGGAAGATTAGATAGAATACAATCATTGGAAAATAATATTATTTTTCCTTGTAGAAGGGTGACACAATTCCTCTATACCATCTTCCTTACATTGATAAGAAAGGAGTTTATATACAAATGGCTAGTTTGCTATGTCTGAAGTTGACATGTCTATACTCTTCTCAGTCATAGGTGGGGTGCAGGACACAATGGCTCTGACCAAACTGGTTGGGTTCAAACTTCCCAACAACCATTCTCTTCTTATTATATCCACTATATTTAAAGTTAATATATTAGAGTCAGGAACATTCCTTCCCTAACAATTGTAGGACAGTCACATAAAAATGCAAATATATGAAAATGTCCAAAAGAATTTTTGCAGTGATATAACTATTGTTATATAGTACTCTTTGACTATAAGTGTCTACTGAGTATTGAGAAATGTGCAACTGAGGGACAAAAATTTTAATCTTAGTTAATTTTAATTAAATGTGACTACTGGTTACTATATTGAACAGTGTGTCTCTATGCTTTACTATAGAAAGTGGTTTCAAGCACTGATTTCTTTAAATCAGATAGAGAAAAGGCACAGGGAATGGGAAACTCGCCCCAAAAGGATATATATATATATATATATATATATATATATCAGCAGCAGCATCATCTCCTTAGCAACTACCCCTGCTTTCATTACTCTACCATGTATATAAATGGCAGGCTAATAAAACCTCGCCAGGGAGAAAATTTGACAGTCTTGTAGAGCCAAAAAGATCACTCACAGAGTAGAGCAAGCTTGTACAATGGATGAAATGTTGCAGGAACAAATACAAAATTTTGCAGTATGGATAAAAATCAAAACCTCAGAGACTGACCCAAAAGAGATATAGCTTCTAAATAGCTTGCTTTTAAAAGATTTAGGAAATATTAACCAGCATTAGGGAGACTGAACCAGAAGAATAACTACAATTCTGAGGCCAGCCTGGGGTGCTTTGTGAATTTGAGTCCAGCCTGGACTACATGCTAAGATCCTGTCTCAAAACACCGAATAAAATAAAGTAAAATAAAATAAAGTATTTTAAAAAGACTTAGGAAGGGCTGGCCAGATAGCTCAGAGAACTAAAGGCCCTGCTTAGGCAAGCGTAGGGATCACAGTTCGATCTTAGACTTGCCATGCCAGACCCACCCCTAGGGAATGCTGAGATGGTGATTGAGACTGGGCTTGGTGGCACGTGCCTGTAATCCCAGCACTGTAGGAGGCAGAAAACAGGAGGATCACTACAAGTCCAGTCTGTGTAGTGAGACACTGTAGATCGTGCACTAAATACATTTTAAAAATGACTTAAGAAATGTTAATCATAAACTCATTATAACTCACTAAGATTCAGAAGAGAAACTGACAATAGCTAACTTTTATTAAGGCTCATAATATCATGGTGGTGCATGCCTACAATTCTAACACTTAGGAGGCTGAGGCAGATGGATCACCATAACTCTGAGGCCAGCTTGGGATTCATAGACAGACTTGTTCTTAAAAACAATAAATAAATAAATAAATAAATAAATAAATAATAAAAAACTAAAACTTTTCTGGTTAGGAAGTGTGGTAAACTGGTTAGGAAGTGTGGGCTGATCCTGGAGATGATAAAATTCATAGCCTGGCAAATGTGCATTTGCTCACCACCCCAATAACTTGTATATTCAGAAAGAAAGAGGCAATAGTTATACATCTTCTCTTCCTTCCTTTAATTTTGTAATTTCTTCTGGGATAGTGAGAAGCTTAATGATTTCAAGGCATTTTCAGCTTTTCTAAGGAAAGATATCAATACTTAACTATAACACATCCTCTTGCCTTATCAGTTTATTGTAGCTCCATTGAATAGCAAACATATCACTTTCAATTTGTTTTTCAGGAGATGTATTTGGATGGAAACAAGATCAGACAAACAGACAAAATTAGGTATAACCCTCAGCTCAAGCATTATGCAGTGTTTCAAGAAGCTGGGTGGAAGTTGTAATTCTGGGGCTAGGTGTGGGAAAGGATTTCATGTGATGTCACTACTACAGAGATGTTTGTTTTGTGCTAATACTTATAACCATTGTGAGTGGCCAAGAGCAAAACAATTTGCATAAATGGTTATAGCTCACTTATTAAACTCCTCAATAAAGACTGCCAAAATTCTCCACACTTTATAAATGAGAAAAAAATTTAAAGTGATTTTCTTTTATTTCTGTAGTACATAGACAACATTTGCAGGAGGAATGGTACATGTATATAACATGTCATAATTCTTTTTCATCTCTTTCCTCTCCCTCCAGCCTCCCTTCCTCCATTCTCTTGGTTCCCTTCCATTTCACAAAAGTTAAAATAAAGTATCTTCTTATCTACAATTATCTACCTTTTATTTTGTTCTTCAATTTATTTGTATTTTGGGCTTCTCCTATAACAAAAACCATGTAATAATTAAACCTATATGTCTTTTTGTTTAAGTTGAGAATGATTTTTTTTTGGCTGGCTCAGGCTGCCTTAATGGTGGGTCTGGTAATGCAGGTGGAGGTTGGGATTGAACTGCGGTATCCTGTGTCAGACTGCATTTGCATGAGCAGAGGCTTAAACAGCTGAGCTAACTGGCAAGCCCCCAAGCCTATATGTCTTATTTTGCTTAATATTATGGTATTAAGTTGCATCCTTTTTCCTAAAAATGACTCTTATTCTTCTTTATGGCAGAATAGTACTTCATTGCATACAAAGAAAATTGAATCAAGACAGGGGATGAGTAAAACTTTCCAAAGACCATGCCACACTAATTGGTGACAAAACTGACTTTGAACTCATGGATTCTCACTTCAGATTATGTGTTCATAACCAGTATGCTGCATCCCATCCTATATTGACATTGTTCAGGAGTAAATGTGGTGTTCTTATTCCACAATGACTTTAGGAAGGATCTCCCTAGAAATAAATGGGGGAAAAGATAGTCAAATTGTCTGGGCTATTTATTTGTGATGTTCCCTTCTTGGTCCATGGTCAGTTTTATCAGAGAGGTCATAAAACATAGTGGTGTATAAAAGAAAGTAGTGTATTTTTCATGGGATAAAGTCTGCACAAAAAAGTCTGTACACAGAACGTCTCTGGTTGGTACGGTGGTTTCAGGACAGGATTTAGTCATATACTTATCTCTGCTGAAATAAAAAACAGAAAATGTCTTCTACTCAAAGAGATTTTGGTTTCCATCTGAAGTAAGTAGGAAGAGGAGAGTGGATGTTAGAATAAAAACCTAGCACAGTAGTTCCTTGGCACATTGCTTCATATACTTACCACTCTTATGTCTTCACAGTGACTACAGATATGTGGCAGCTGCTTTGGCTGTCATGAGAAATGTGACTCAACAGATCAACGAACGCAAGCGACGTTTGGAGAATATTGACAAGATTGCTCAGTGGCAGGCATCTGTCTTAGACTGGGAGGTAAGATGCTTACAAACAAAAACATTTGGGAAATAGAAATAGCTTTGCAAAAGCTTTTTATGTTAGCCAAGCATGGTCATAGAGGTGTTAGACTTGAAGGCTTTAGATTAGACTCAAGGCAAAGTTTTCTTCTAATGATAGATATTGGGTACTTAGCAGCTTCCAAGGAATATCAGAGAAATACATGTGGCAATAACTCTTTAAAAAAGAAAATTGTTTTTCTTTTGGTATTGTTAGGAAACAGTTTGGTTGATTTAGTGACCTTGCAAAGCTCTTGAAAGTACTGAAGTAGTATGTGTTAATATACCTCAAAATAGGGCTTGCCAGATAGCTGAGTGGATTAAAGTGCCTGCTAAGACAGACATAGGAACTGGATTTTGATCCCCAGCCTGCCATCCTGGCCCTGCCCCAGGGTGCACTGAGACAATGATTAACACTGGGCATGGCATGGTGTCGCGTGCCTGTAATCCCAGCTTTTTGGGAGGGTGAACACAGGTGAATCACTACGAGTCTGATCTCTGTAGTGAGACCCTGTAGATCCTGTAAGATATATCCTGTAAAATATATATGGATTGGTTCCCTTTCATTTAAGTATGCAGGCTAAACAATATCCTTTTCCTTTTGGTGAAATCATCTCATTCTGTGATATCTACTAGTCTATCCAAGACTGAACACTATAGGTTATGACCATCATCCTAGCCAAATCCAAAAGACCACATTTTGTTCTTAACATAATCTTCTAAAAATACAGTGGTACTTCCATTCACTAATTTATTTTTTTCCATGATTCTGGTCAAAAACTTCATTGAATGAGAACTGAAGCAAATTCGGGCTAGGTTCAATGTTGACTTTAGGGGGAAATTTGCTTTAGTTCTCTGCCAACTAAATTTGTGAGTAGAACTGTGGAAAGAATTAAATTCCTGAACCAAGGTACCACTGTAATGCCTAACAACCTTCTGTTCCATTGCAGCCAATCATGATTTCTCTGAACTTTGAAAGCATGTGGCTGAAGTCACTCAAACTTCCTTTCTTAGATGCCCATCAGGTGAACCTAGAGTAATGGCGTTTCACATTTATCTCACAGGCCCAATTTATGTAAATCTTATATAGATCACAGGTTAATATAACCAAGATGGAAAAAGCTGGATAGGCTGACAAGAAGCAGCAGCAATCTTAAGCTTTGTGATCACAATGTAGAGTCAACTCACTTCACTGGCCAAAACTCAAGTAAACTTTATGTGATTAAGACGTAGTAAGAGGGAACCGGGGAGATAGCTCAGTAGAACAAGAGCCTGACCTTAATCCCCAGTTCCACTTAAAAAAAAAAGACAAAGTGGGAGGACTACAAGTTTTACCTTGATTTGGATAAGTTAGCAAGTTAATGTGGCCTTGTCTCAAAATTAAAGAAAAAATGACTGGAATTGTAGATCGCTGTAAAAGCCCTAAGTTCAAACCCTGAGGGTGGGAGGGAAAAGGAGGAGGAAGAGGCTGAACAAGACGACAGTTTTGATCAGATACTACATTTTGGGGTCTTATTTGAAGGCTATTCTTCAAATGTCCCCATAATGGAAGTGGAACAGTAGTGACTCTTGAGATGCAGAAAAATCAATCTATCTTAGCAGATCATCTTCTTCATAAGAGAAAGTTGTTACCAGAACAGAGTTACTAGAAAATCATGGATTTTCCCTGCTTTATGTTTTCTTTGCTTTCTTTCTTGCATGATCAGAGTCAAAAGGCGAGACTAAATTACTTTTAGCAAGCCCATTGGCTCTGAGGCACTCTGAAATTATTATGAATGTTTAGTTGGCCTTTTATCCTCTCTGGCAGATTTCTCTGTAAGAGAAGATAGCCAGAAGGAATTCAGTAGTTGTCTTCTAATTCCTGGAACACAATCCTCCTTACCAATGTCTAGGAGGTCCTTTAATCCTTCCATATGTTCTGGTCCTCCAAGACACTAGTCCTTGGAACAGAGGGCATAGAGTGCAAAGAATAGTTTGAAATGCCCTGGCCAACCCAGGCAGCATCACAGAAACAAAACTGATAGCACTGAATTGTGATGTAAAGATTCAGCATCTCAAAAGGCATTTCCTATATATTTCCAGGGAGGGGAGAATCTCAGTTCTAACATTTGCTTTATTACTGTGGTTGAATAATCCCCTAGTATCATCCAAGTCTGTGTATCTCTTACACTTTCCTATTTATTGAAGACTTTCATCTAAACTGTCTATCTTCATCCAGGTTGCTATAACAGTGTCATAGATTAGGTAGCTTATAAGTGACTTAAATTTATTTTTCACAGTTCGGAAGGCTTCCTAAGGTCTCTATAAGAGAAGATAGCAACTTCCAACTACAGTTCAACACATGATTTTTTTTCAAGGTTAGAAGTTGTATTTATTTATGTATTTTTTCCATAGTTTTATTGAGAAACAAATAGCAATGAGACAGTTTCAAATCAAATTGGTATGACAGTTTCAATAATTAACACATTGCATACATTCTTCCGAGTGGTTAATTGCTGCACAAGATGCGGACATGATATCCTATTTACAAACACTATTACAACAAATCCCTCTATCCATTAAGAGAATGTAACTATGTATCTAACCTAACCACTTTGAATATAGATACAAAATGAACATTCATCTGTATCCCCTTTTTTTGTTAAGTTCCGTTCTTTGAATATTATAGGTATGTAAACTCAGCAAAATATTCTAAAAGAGTCCAGTAGCCCATAATAGTATTGGGTCTTCTGCTTGACTGGCAATGTCAGAAATTGTTGAACTG